TGCCTGCCGCGCGGAGCCGACAAACAGCTGATCAGCTGTTTGTCGGCTCGTGCGCTAGTCTGGACGTTCCCCCTGTCGACATCAAACCTCGTGGGATGAGGTTTACCGGGGCTGCCGACAAAGGGCTTTGATGTCGACAGGGGGAACGTCCAGACTAGCGCACAAGCCGACAAACAGCTGATCAGCTGTTTGTCGGCTCAGCGTGGCAGCCATGTAAATGTAAATGAAGCCGCGATCATTTAAATCGCGGCTTCATTTACCTTTGCTGAATAAACAAATCTACATGCCTCTGCCAACAGAGGCATGTAGTGTAGACGTACCCGTAGATGGTAATGAAAGACAGAACTATTTCAACTTGAACGCCCATAAATATAAATGGTGACAGAATAGTAGAACCAAATGCATAAGAGGATGTTTTGCTTTTGAGCCACCCTATGGATTCCTGGCTTTTGTTTCTTTCAAAATATAACTGTACATGATCAAAATATAATTTTTATTTGAAAAACATACCTGCAAATAGCACACACAAAACAGGCCGGGTGGTAGGTTTTCCCCAGTGCTGAAACTACTTCCCCCTCAATGAATTCATCACAGCTGATGCACCGTGTGCCATAGAGTCTTTGATAGTCCAAAGTACAGATGTAGTCTCCCTGTCTCACAAAAAATCCTCCTTGAGCCAGGTCACATCCACAAGCTACATGGAGAGAAATGACAAAGATTTAGAGGAGTGCAAGAATGGAGATGACTATAATAAGATGACTCTTCATTCAAATAAGATGAAGATGACTCTTCATTATAAGATGGCTATAATAAGATGACTCTTCAGTCAAAATGAGCAATTTTTTTCAATATATATATAGCAGATCTTCAAGCATGGCATCTTACTATTTTAGGCTCCCGAACACAAGTCATCCATGAGTCATAAGGTTGCTACCTTTACAATTTTCATCATTAATAAATTTGTTTTATTCCATATAGGAAAACGAATGCAACAGCAGAGAGCCTGAAGCCGGGTCTACAGTACAGGCTTAAGCCAACATAAGTTGCCTTGTGTCAACCTAACTGTGGAAGTGTCTTTGCTTATATTTTGCTCCTACTGACAAAAATGCCTCTTTACACTGAGTTAACACCCCAAGGGATGTTGAGTCAGGTTAGGCACTGTGTTGTTTATGCTGCTTTCATGAGGCATCCCTCAGTGCCTCACACTAACAACGAATTTAGTCACTTGTGGTGAGAATGCATATGGTCAACACAAGGAGCCAAGTGCGCTCTCTCTCTCTCTCTCTCTCTCACACACACACACGTAATTTACTAACTGTGGTAGCTGCACACTGATGTAACTTATGTTGACATAATTCTGTCATAATGTAGACATGGTGTTAGTAAGAGTTCATCAGCAAATAGAATTTTCAGTGTCTTAACACCTGACTTGTTTTAAATCACTTTGTTCAGAATCTTGGTGTTATTTTTGGCAACCATAGTAGAGTGGGTTCCATACACTTTTCCATCTGTATCTTATCTTAGTGGATGAGAACAGTCTTGTGCAATTCACAAAAAGTCTAAGACTCAGGTGCCCTATATAAAACTAGGGCTGATTTGAGGGTTTCCTGTGTACCTTGTAGGTTGACTCCACTACAGGGCTCTACAAACCAAGAACTCTCTCCACTAGGGTTTTCCTCCAGAACAAATAGATTTCCCTGTGGCTCAAGGACAGTGTTATAGTCCTACACAATCCTCTCCCATCCAGCACACTGGGATATTGGAAGGGAAGGGGAACAAACATGTAGTTGGCAACAGCCCACTGAGAAAAAATATAAAACATTTGGCCTCCACTTGGAGTTGTTTTATGGCTTTAAAACTGAAACAAAAAAATGGAAATGTATAGTTTACAAGGGAGCTACAAAGAATTTAAAAGCAAAGTGTTGTGCGTCCACGTGCTGAATTTTAGAGTTCTGGAATCTAACAATAGCTCTGGCCTGTTAAAAAGAACTATTGCAATCATACGTATTGCACAGACGAGACGAATTAAAGCCTTTGACTTTTTAAAAAACATTTAATAGCTTTGTTTTAATTTTTCATGACAGAAGGTTCATGTGCCCTGTTGCAACACAGGACAGGTCTGTAAACCAGAAACTTGCTTGAACAATAAACTGACATGATAGATGGTATCAAGCAGTCATAGAAAATAGTGACAAATAATGGATCTAAAGGGGGTGGCTTTTGTTAAGCATGTCCCTCATGGCCTTCTTTCTTCAATCCATCATATCCCCCTTCCCTTCAGACCCAATCACACCCTCCCCCA